TTTCTCGGAAGCAAAATGAACAAGAACGCTCGGTTTTACATCATTCCAGAGATAACTAAATGGCCTTTATTCGCACCGTTGGATAGAGAATTGAATGGGGGGTCCCCTATGACCCCCAAGACTTCCCCCCTGGATCCGCCCTTGCTTCAAACAATCAAAGTGTTAAAGCCTAAAATATCACCATTAAGCTCGGCAACATTTCGGTGAACGATAGTGTTTTGTGTCAGTTACAATAATTAATCCAAAATCATCGTTGGTAAGTAGATAATAATTTTTTCTGCTCATGATTGTACCAAATTTTGTTAATGTAATTCTTCCGGTTTTCGAGATGATAATTAATCATCCGGTATTTTTTATTGCAATAAAAAATACCGGATGCAGCAAAAATTAGTCTCCCCTAAGCGTAACTTTTCAATTTCTAAAATTTTCTTTCGCCATACCTACCTTGAACATCTGTAATTAAAAAAAAATGAATAAATAAACAATGAAGTCAGTTGAAGAATTGAAATTAATTGACTAATTAAAATTAATTTTCAAAAATATACTTCGCACGCCCATGATTCACACCTATCATGGATTTTCAGATTACCGTATTGGCGGGTTCAAAAGGGCAAACGCCCCCTGGTGGTTAAAATGATAACTACATGTTAACTAGTAATTTGACTTTGAGGTTGGCTCGGGAACTTTTCCTCAAACTACAATTTTTCAGTGAAATCCCTGGTTTTGAGACTTTTTAGAAACGTGAACAGTTTTCTAGTAATTTCCAATTTTTTTTGGAACACGAGCATGAGCAAATCGACCTATCTTTACAACGATTTTTATTCCCTTGCTTTGCGATATTTTTTTAAATGAAAATCTACTGAATATTCGCTCAAAATTTCACACGGTCAGTAATAAAGCTTATTGAAAACGAAGCCCAATTTGGAAATTTAAAATTACCCGAAAATTGGTGACTTTTTCAGAAAAGCTAAAGACGCACTATTTCATTTAAAAACTATGTAGTTTTAGGAAACCGTCCGATATTTCCTTAAAGTTATCTTACAAAAATATTCGACCGGTCAGAACTCTTGAACGTCCCCGGTATCTCTGTTAGCAAATTTTCCTCCTAGCACCTAACAGACTGTGTTTTTAGGCCGTCGTTCGGTAGAATTTCCTCCTGACGTTTCGCAAGCACGAGTGGCTTGCATCTTCAGAAGTGGTTTGCTTGAACGCTTACACTGTTCTCATCGGAACCCGTTCGGTTCTTCCGCAGAACTGAACGTGTGATGAGAACAGTGTAAGCGTTCAAGCAAACCACTTCTGAAGATGCAAGCCACTCGTGCTTGCGAAACGTTCGGAAGAAATTCTACCGAACGACGGCCTAAAAACCCATTAGTTTTAAGGAATGGCCTCGAAAGTCTAACTCTTTTCATAGAGTGAGTTTCCTCAATTTACTTGTTCTGGTTAAGAAATTTAATAATAAATAAGTATCGAGCAAGCACCCTTTTAAGAGCTTCTATCTGTGTTTGTCGACACTTTGGCACCATTTTTGTACCGTGTTTGGGTGCAGAATACGCCCTTAAGCTGTGGCAAATTAAAATTGAACCACCCTGTATACATTCTTAAATGAGAATGTTTTTACTAACATTCGCCCAGCGTGTCATTATAAATGTGCAGCCGATGGGCGGTGGGCGTACATTTTTAAAGCCAATAACAAAGTCGTCCCTTTGGGTTGCTATGTAACCGTATAGCACAAGTAAGCGATTGGTCCAATCGAGCCCAACTACAACCAATGGGTGATAAATGTGGGCAAGTGCTGGGCTATTGGAGGCGGTGATTTTGCGCTCGCTTTTTCATTGGGCGTTACTAAGGAGCTTCCACCTTTATCATTTTTTTCAATTGTGATTACGGCAGCATTCGATCGCTTAAAGCCTCCGAGAAGCAATTTTTCAAAATTAAGTGATTTATGCTGAGAAGTCGAACACGTGGAAGAACACACAAGAATGCAGAATCTGTTGTAATAAATCTGTAATTGTTATAATCTCGTTTATTTCGCTACGTTTCGGCGAGGCAACAGCGCCATCATCAGATTTTAAAATTCATTCAAACTCATAATTGGTAAACATTATATTTATTTAGGTCTTTGCTGTCTTGAAACCTTCAATTTGTTTGAATTATTTTCTACATTTGCCTTTCGCATCGAAGGCAAATGTAGAAAATAATTCAAACAAATTGAAGGTTTCAAGACAGCAAA